ACAAGCTACTAACGCTGGTTAGTTTTGTAACAACGGATTCTAAAATATACAGTTTTGATAAGATACAACAAGCTACTAACGTTGGTCAGTTTTGTAACAACGAATTCTAAAATATACAGTTTTGATAAGATACAGCAAGCTACTAACGTTGGTCAGTTTTGTAACAACGAATTCTAAAATATACAGTTTTGATAAGGTACAACAAGCTACTAACGTTCGTTAGTTTTGGAACAACGAATTCTAAAATATACATTTTTGATAAGATACAACACGCTACTAACGTTGGTCAGTTTTGTAACAACGACTTGTTCTTGTGTACCATCTCCTCGCCTCCTCCTACATCTCTGACGGTCAGATAGGCTGCCGAAAATCCCTTAACATTAATGGTATCATCCGACCTGAATCTCAGCAGCAGGCTATTACCAGTAGAAACAAACTCTGGAGGAAGCTAGAAAAATTTCAAACTTATTAGTTCGTAGCTTATAGTATATTTGAATAAGTGAAATTGTTGTACTAGTCCCTCATTATACCTAATACCTAAAATATGTTTCCGTGACCTACAACCCCTACAAAGTCTTTGTAACAGTACTTTACGTAAACCTCAAATCAAGTCAGTAACTCGCTTTATAATCAGTTTAAAAGCATATTTAAATTCAACCACAAACCAGGCATGAATGAATTCAGTAACTCACTTTATTTCCGCAGAAGTGGCCCAGATGTGGTGCCGAGTCGTCGTACCCGTCATATACTTCTACAAAGTCGTAACCACAATCTTGTTCGTGTTCGATTTCAAATGTTAAGAATCTCAGTCTAACACCTGTACCTTCCTCGGATTGTATAATCCAGTCACAATCTTCTTTGTTGTCATAGTTCTGGTCTCCATATTTGGAATGCGAGTATAGGTGTTCCACTGACGGTAACGCCACTAAGCGGCCACCGCACACTACATAGGGATCGAGAAAGTTAAAATTTAATTCCAGCGTAGAAAATATTTTTATTGAATTAAACAAATGTTAAGCATCCTACTTAATATCCGATTTTATAAATTTTAGAATTTCTATGTTACATATTTTGTCAGCTTAAGACTAATTACGGTTAACTATTTAATATATTAAAATAAAAACATGAAATGCTGTGTAGACCATAAACTCATACCTGTGGAGTGGGTGGCTTTAAACCCTTTCCTCTGTACAGAAGCATCAGAGGTGAAAATCATGTACATCCGATTGGATGAGGCTAAAATCGGATGTGGTACTTTACTGCCACAGAAACGGCCCAGGGTTGATGAATCTGCATTTTCTCCATCGTAAATGGCAATATGGTCGTAAGTACATTCTTGGTGGGGTTCCAGTTCGAAATCAGTGAATTGCTGTACGAAATAAATGTACACAAGTATTGTTATCAAGGCTCTGACACCACACCAATATACACAAGTATCGTTGTCAAGGCTCTGACACCACACCAATGTACAGAAATATCGTTGCCAAGGCTCTGACACCACACCAATGCATACAAGTATCGTTGTCAAGGCTCCGACACCACACCAATGTACAGAAATATCGTTGTCAAGACTCTGACACCACACCAATGTACACAAATATCGTTGTCAAGGCTCTGACACCACACCAATGTACACAAGTATCGTTGTAAAGGCTCTGACACCACACCAATGTACACACATATCGTTGTCAAGGCTCTGACACCACACCAATGTACACAAGTATCGTTGTCAAGGCTCTGACACCACACCAATGTACAGAACTTTCGTTGTCAAGGCTCTGACACCACACAAATGTACAGAAATATCGTTGTCAAGGCTCTGACACCACACCAACGTACACAAGTATCGTTGTCAAGGCTCTGACACCACACCAATGTACACAAGTATCGTTGTCAAGGCTCTGACACCACACCAATGTACACAAATATCGTTGTCAAGGCTCTGACACCACACCAATGTACACAAGTATCGTTGTCAAGGCTCTGACACCACACCAATCTACACAAATATAGATACTAACACTAGAAAACGTATGTACTAAAGACTGTTGATGTAGAGATAAAGTATTGTTGTAAGCTATACTGTTGAAATATGTACTAAAGATTGTTAGATATAAAGTATTGTTTTAAGCTATACTATTTGAAATATGTACTAAAGATTGTTAGATATAAAGTATTGTTGTAAGCTATACTGTTGAACTATGTACTAAAGATTGTTAGATATAAAGTATTGTTGTAAGCTATACTGTTGAAATATGTACTAAAGAATGTTAGATATAAAGTATTGTTGTAAGCTACACTTTTGCATTAGAGATTATTACATATAGAGATAAAGCGCAGTTTAATGTACTATTTTCTTGAGAAATTAAAAACTATTTTGTGGAAGTCTTTCATAAAACTCAATCTATTTTTATTATATAAACCTAGTCAAGTATCAATTGTAGCTTTAATTACGCGTGGCAGATAACGATTTTTCGTTTTACTAATTGTGGGCACTATTATATGTTTGTTATTAGAATACGAAATAGTTAACAT